CGAATCCACCACAACAGGGCCAACGAAAGACTGGATTGGGAGCGGGAACAATGCCTCGCGTGGCACAGTGGCCCACCACGCCATTCATGGCAGCCGGTATGCGAACACTTCCTCCCAAATCGGTTCCTACTTCGAGAGGTGTGAATCCTGCCGCCAAGGCCGCCGCGGCTCCTCCCGAAGATCCACCGGGAGACTTGGTGGTATCAAAGGGATTGGACGTGGCTCCGTAAATGGGATTATTGCTCTCCCAATCGAGGGCATTTTTACACAAGTTGGTCTTGCCCATGAGAATGGCTCCTCCGTCTTCCATCATGAGACGTGCCGTTTCCGAGTGGGCGCCAGGAGGAACCCAGAATTTGGGATCTCCCATGGTGGTTTTAAAGTTGGGAGTAAAGATGGATTCCTTCAACGTCAAGGGGACTCCATGAAAGGGACCTAATAATAGCGATTCTCCATTTCGTACCATTTCATCCGCTTTATCAGCTTGGGCTCGGGCGGCATCAAAGTCGCGAAGCACCACGGCATTGATCTTCCAATGATCCAATCGTTCGATGCGAGCAATGTGCTGTTCCACTAACTCACGGCTGGTAATAGTTCCGGTTCGAATGGCCGCGGCCATTTCCAAGGCGGAGGAATAGACATGGATGGTCGAGTCGTCGTTGTTGTTGTCCTGTGTCATCTTGTTGCCTATAGAATAGAATAGAATGGAATGGAATAGTGACTGCCTCCCACAAATAAATAATGCGAGAAAGCACCCACAAGTCCAATACTTTAGAATAATGGAACTCGAGCGGAAAGAGGGCTGAGAATTTTAAAATGTGACGAAGTGAGTGGTGGAAGGTGGATTGGAGATTGGAGAGCACAAAGTGGATCTTTGTTTGACGCCTGAGTCTTACAGCCGTATCCACGAATGGAATCTCAAAAGATCCAAGTGGATCATGACATCATCCGTGTTCCACAAAAGGCCTTTTCAATCCAAGTTTCCGCCATATTTTTTGCAACCTTAGCGTTAAGATTATTCTCGCAACCAAAAGATCCAAATCCATAACATCACGAACCGCGGGAAGACCCACAATTTTTCAGCTACCGATTCGATTCAAGTAATTGGCTATTAGTAGGAACACTTTAGGAACCAAGACAAAGAAAAGAGGACACCATGGTGAAACTCGTACCTGATCCATGCGGCTGCTCTGGAATTGGATGGACTCCTCCCACCTACTTGGTTTCGGAGGAAGCAACGATACCCCAAGATTCCGAGGATCCTTCCGAATGCCAACAACAATACCCGTATGACGGTGGAGTAGTTTCCATCCAAACCTATTCGACCCTGGTGGAGCGTCTAAAGGAGATAGTCAAAGATAATCGAGACTATATCGATGGATACTACAATAAATATCGCAAGGGAAAAGAGTTCTCTTGGTCGCACTTTAGGATATCTTTAACAACGACCAAAAAGGAAACGGAACAAAACACCAGCAATTCAGAGGATCCTGATGAGACAGAAAGGCCAGAGGATGAAGAAGAAACGGAAGAAAGGAAGGAGAAAAAGAGGCACAAGGCACTGGCCAAGGCTTTGTGTGATCCAAAGCCCGGCGTCACTCATGCCTCTCTGCAAATCTACATTTCCGCTCAGTCTGGAGATATAGCAAGCTCTAGCCAATGGTGTGAGGATATTGAGATTCACGAGCGGACAGGCCGTCCAGAAGATCTCATTGACCTGCTGTTGGAGTGTCAACCAGCACAATTGGATTTCAAATCGATTGATCCATCCCTGGCAGCCTACCTGGCGGAAAAGATTGCCACAACCAACACTACTAGTTTGCAAGTGATTGGAATGGCAGAATCCTGTGACGAAGGAACGATTCAAGCCATGGGTACAATACTGCAATCCTGTTGTTCCTCTACAAATCCACAGACGCTGCGTCTCTATGAGTGCTACAATTCCGTTCCATACCATTCCATCCAGTCGGGATGGGAAGAAGGCTTTCGTTGCAACACTTCCATTCAGACGCTGGATCTGGGTCAGGTAGACATGTCCGAAGAAGGGTTTGCCGAATTCGTCGCAGCAGGCGTCACACTCCTTCAGAATCTCAAAGGCCTGGATCTATCTGGCACCAATGGATTCGTTGACCATGCATATGACAGTAATCCAAAGCCGCAGCCGCCATTGGATCCACTGGTAGAGGCATTGTCCTCCGCTTCCAATAAGAAGAGTTCTTTAACTACCATTAATTTGAACGGATGCCGCATTCCAGAAGAGTTCATGGACCAGCTGATGGGCGGCATATGCACCCTGTCGTCCTCATTGAAGGATCTGAACCTATCCCAAACCAAGTGCGGAAGCAATGCACTGGCTGCCGTGGGTGACATGCTACAGAAGGATGGCTGCGCTCTCGAAGTGTTGGATTTGACGTCGTTGGATTCCCCCAAGCAAGCCATCAACGTATCATCCATCATCCGTGCTCTGTCAAAGAATGCATCTCTCACCACTCTCAAGATTGGTGGAAACGAACAACCTGCAGGTGGAATGAAAGAACTAGCAGAAGCCTTGAGCAAGAACACCTCACTCGCCAATTTACACCTGGACACCGTCTACAGCATTGATGATGGCTTTAAGATATTCTTTTCGATGCTTTCCACCATGAAAGGTCTGGTCCTGTTGGATATTTCAGACAATGCCATGACGGATGAGGCATTGGAGATCCTAATCAGCCAGCTCGAGTCGGCCTCGGATGAACTGTCGATTCGACAAATTGAAGCCACGGATATGCAATCGTCCGAGTCAGCCCTCGAGAGATTATCCAAAGCGGTGTCCACTGGATCCATCACCGTCAATGTTTCCGAGCTGGAAGGGTGGGAAACGACCGATTCCTTGCTTTTGGTACCCGAAAACTGCAATGACATTGTAGTGCCTCCGAAACGGTATGGAGAGGGCACCAATCACGTTGGGACGGTTGCCTTTATGACAGAATTCTTGAAGAATAAGATTGCAACATTCACCAAGAAAGAAGGGAAGCAACCATCGGATCTCGCTGTTTCTATGGGGTCGTTGGATTCGGAAGAACTTGGTGTTCGCGTTGGGTGGACAGAACACGGAGAAGACTTGCCACTCACTATTCGTGACGGCAGGGTGGAGGATTTTGCAAAGGTCCTTGTATCCCTTGGCGTTTCTGCTTTCCACCTCGAAGGGGAGCTACCTGACTCGCTCTTGGTCGCGCTTCAGCAAGATATCTTCGCTGCAGCCTGCACAGGTCTCACCCTCGATGATATGATTGTCACAAAGACTGTGTTAGGGTTATTGAAGAACTTGTTGTGGTGCTCTAAAGACTTTGAATCCCTGGAGCTACGTAGAATCTCCAACCATGAAGAAGATTTTCCGCCAGACTCAGTTTCCGAGAGCTCTGACGAAAAGCTCCCAGAGGGGGCCTTGAAGGCAATGAAGACCTTGAAGCTTGAACGATTGAAGCTGGCACATCCAGTAACGACCGTAGTGAGGGAGATCCTTTTGTCTGCGACAGCACTTGAGAAGTTGGAGTTCAAATGTATTGGGGGTGATGATGATGAACCTCCACCAACCCATAATATCATTGGTCCAGACGAGGCACTGCCGACGGGTTCTCTGAGTGCTCTGAAAGTCGTCACTCTGGATTCGGTGAAGATTACGAATCCGGTTGCATTGCTGCTGAAGGCAATTCTGTCTTCTTCGTCGTCAGCGCTTGAGCTGATCAAATTGAGCAATGTCAAATGTGATGACCTAGAGCCTGCCAAAATAGTTGGGCAGGGGTATGCGAAGAACCGTTCGGTTCGAACTGTAGAGTTCCAGTCCGTGGACGAGGGTATATCCGATGCAATCCAGGCAGCTCTGCTGACGGGCCTGGCAAGTCTGAACAACTTGGAAGACTTGGAATTGAAGCTACAGGTTTGCGGAAACGAGACAGTGGAGGCACTGGCCTCTATCGTTGGAACAAGCAAGAGTCGAAAGCTCTCGATATTGTTTGGTTACTCGTGTGGTTCAGTCGACATCACACCTATCTCTCTCCGGCTAGCAAAGAATACATCAATGTTGGAGCTGTCCGTTTTGACCGAAGGGAAGTACTTGGCTGATCCCGGTGTTGCTTCGCTTGGTCAGGCCTTGGCGGAAAACACAACACTTGAAACGTTCCATGTTGTTGTCCCCAACTTAACCTTTGATGGGGCAAGCGTGTTTTATAGGTACGCCGGCACGAATGAAGCTAATGCTCGTTTCTTGTCCGTGCACTCTCACTCTTGGGCACCACAGTCACCTTGGATCCATGAAAGGCTTGAAGCACTTGCACTTTGACGGAAACTATAAAGGAAAAGCCAGGGATAGTAGCACGCTCTCCGATACAGCCTTGGAGGCATTCGTTCAGGGTTTGACTGCCAATTCAAGTATCCAGGAACTCTCCGCAGACTATGCTTACTGGGAAGCTGCTGAAGTCAATGCTGGTATTATCAAACTACTTCAATCGAGCCTTCCAACCACACTAACTTCCATTGCAATGAAGATGTGGGGAGGTATCAATGACGACCATGCTCAAGATATTCAGCATCTTTTTGGTGCCATGGCGACCAACACAACAATTACCAATCTTGCCATTGAGTTTGACTGCGACCAGACACTAGACGAGCTGGGCAAGGCTTTGATTCAGAATTCCAAATTGGAAACTCTTGTTGTCACATGCTCTTACCTGAGCAAGGAAAGTGTGGACAAGTTTGCCAAGTCGCTCTGTGACAATGGCACATTGAAGCACCTTCGCTTCAACGTGCGTGATGAAGAAGTCAAACAATTGCTGGTGGATTGCACTAAAGAGACATCCATCAAATTGGCAGTCGCTGAAAACGCACGCGATTCGGGCCTAGTTGACTTTGTCATGCCCGCCATGCCGGATCTCCTTGACCCCGTCGCGGATTAGGATATCGTCGTTCGAGGTGGACCTTCGGTTATAGAGGAGCGAAGATGCTGCGATGGAAGTGGGTGCATGGGAACTATTAGACGAAGTTTCTCCTACCCTTCTTGCATGCTTGCGCTCATGTGTTTGGCTCAAAGCTCTCTCTTGTGGGTAACTTTATAGCATACGTACAGAATCCAAGAAGAGTCTATTATCAAAGTCAACTTCACTAATAGCAGAAAAGAGTTTCACCAAGCCAACGAAAACTGAGAGCAAGAACACGTAACTCAATCCGGCGTCGCCAAGATCACTGGTGCACTGCATCCAGTCGAAGTTGCTGATTGATCAGACCGCGAGGGAGTCTATAACGGCTTTGCGTCTCTGCCAGTGTCGCCCGAGACGGTTGATCGTTTCGTTTGAAGCTTCAATCCTGTCTTTTTCCAGCCGTGAAGAAAGTACGCACTGCTTAGGGATCATTTTGACTTCACGTCTCAGCCAGCATCCACCGAGTCGAGTGACAGTCGTCTTTTTGACTGTTCTCAGCCGTGAAGGAAAGTATCTTTCTTCGACTTGGGGTTGCTTCTTCGAGCTCATATTCTGCTCTTTTACTAGAGAAATACGATCATGGAAGCTGTTGCTGTTTCTATTCCAACCGCTGTGGTCTGCGCTGAAGGCGCTTGCGCCGTGGCTGCTGTCACTGTTACACAGATGGCTTTAGCCCCTGCCGCCGCCGCCTTGGGTGTAGTTGCCATGGGTGTTACCGTTGGCGCTGTGATTGGAAAGGTAATTGATGATGCGATTTACGGATGACCGACCCCACGATGATGGCTGTCGATGAAACACGGCTGCCACTGCAACCTGAAGAAGGAGAAGGAAAAGGAAGAAGAAGAAGAAGCAGAGAGTAATGGAGTGGAGTAAATAATGCACTAGAACAACACTTTGCCAAAACATTGTAATCATTACGTAAATCTTATGCAATCAACGCGATAGATAGATAGCTTTAAGTGGGGATATACATGGGGTGCAGCCAAACCGGGTTGCACGGGAAAGCGGCACTGTTCCTGGTCTGGTGGCACAAAAAGCAAGAGAGGGGTACCGGATTGCGGGAACACTCCGCCAACCGTCGCATCCTCTCGCTAAATCAGTCCTGCCCTCATGGGAGTACTATTGCAGGTGCCTGAACATATATGTAACAAACAACAACAAATCAACTATGATAGTCAGAATAGAACAAGCCGTGCCCCAACCCTCAAGCTAGCTAGCTGGTATTGTTCTGCTGCTGTTACTGTACGTACCGTCGTTCGTCTCCATAGACTTGCAGCGCGGCTTGATAGAATTCCATTGCCACTCGATCCACCCAACTATCGAGCATCCATCCTCCATTGTACGGATCCTGGACCAGAGACGGCAACAACGTATTGCCGGTAGAGGACGAATCCAAAAAGGGACAATGCGTCCCCGTCTTGGTCACGGCCAAAATGCCACCGGGCGAATCGGCCACCATTTGAGCATACGATCGCCCATTGTGTTGTGGATAGGGCGATTGTTCATAAATGTTTTGCACATTGCAACAGGGATCGTCAATACTGTTGACAATGAGTGTGGGTGTGGTGATGCGATGCACGTCATTGACGGGATTCTCTTTTTGGAAATAGGCCGTGGCATTGGGATATCCGGCAAAGGGAGCGACAGCATGAAGCAGTTCTTGTAGATTGGTGGCCGCCAAGGCATCGTCCACCGCTTGATTATCAAACTCCCGCAAGACTTTTTCATTTTGTCGTACAAAGTGATCCTTGGAGGATTCCGTCAAGAGTGGATTGTAGGGCAACTTGAATCGGTCGGGCATCATGACCTTGCTGATATCGTATCCTGGTACCACCGAAATGGATGCCACAAAGGAAGGTGCCGTACTGTCACCAACCTCGCGTCGTTGATCAAACTGAGACAATCCCGTCACCACCACGGCCGTTCCACTACTGACACCATGCAGAAAAAAGGGAGTATGAGGGGCCGCATGGTGTTGTTGAATGTACCAATAAGCTTGTTCCAGATCGTCCGTGTCACCAAACAGATTCCATCGTGGTGCTGTCAAAGGTTGATTGGGTGTGTGACCACGACGATTGATCACAATGGAACGGAATCCTTCCCCGTACGCTCGTCGCACCAGGGTGGTACCGGGAATGTCCTGACTCTCACATCTCAAACCAGGCGCAATGAAAATAATGGGTGATCCCTTGTGGAATGTACCACCATTCTGGTCATGAAATGGAGGAAAGACATCCAGAGTAATGGTATCATTCAAAAGAGGACTTCGTTCACAGTGTTCTTGTGATTTGTCCAGACATGCCGTGACTTGTAGTTCCATGCGTTGATAGGGAATTCCTTCTTGTCGATGAATTTCATTTTGAATCAACCAAGGAATGAACTGCAAATGTCGGTTGGCAAAGAGGAGTGGAGGATTGGGTCCTCTTCGTAGATTGGGCATGAGCGCCATGACTTGGTGGATTTTGGGATCGCTGCCATGCATCAGATCAAACAGTCCCTGGTGACTACTACTGCTACTGTTCTTGTGGTGGTGGTAGAGTGGAGTGTTGTTCCCTTGTTTCATGCCTTGGCCTTGGAGATGCAAGGGAGAAAGTAGATAGGACAATGCCAAGATGATCAGAATGGATTTGTTGGTGGCACCTGTAAAACTCATTTGAACATCTTCGCCATTGCAATCCTCATCGTTGTTCAAATTTGCCTTTTCTTTACTCCCCTTCTTCAAAAATCGAAAGGGTAATGTCAGGAGATAGCTCAACAGACTGACAATGCTGTACACGAGAAAACCCAAAAGGGCAATGACAGGGATGTATCCCACAAAATCATCCAATGTGAAGATTCCATGGCTCATCTTTTTATTAATAGTTGTTGGTCCTTTGCTTCTGATCTCTCTTCTACTGTATAGTCTAGTTTCTACTTTTATGATACCTTCAGCACGGGCCCACTAGCTAGACTATGATAAAATAAATGGCCAGCAAAGATTCGAAGATTCGATTCTGAACAGGCCACCAACATACAATGACAAAGAATGCTTTCTCGCAAGAAAGTCGACGTCATGGGAGTATGAGTGCGTCCAAAACAAAAGATACGACGTGTCGTCCCCCAAACGAAGTGTGATTGGCAGGCTCGATTCATGTACCCAGCAGAGCTGAATAAGACCTGCTTAAAATGAGAACGACCCAATCTCCCAGCTGGAGAGCTCAACCTCATCGCTACTCTGAGTACAACAAGTTCAGAGCACACACTTGGGGTCAGTTGAATTTGGTGCCATAATTTGGTGCCGGTGCAGTTCTCCTGCACCGCCCTTGCACCGCACTGCACCAAAATTAGGGGCACTTCAACTAGCGTAACTAGAGTGACTGACGTAACTAGCGTAACTAGCGTAGGGTAACTGACGTAACTGGCGTGCAACTGACGTAACTGGCGTAGAATATTGGAGGATGACAACGTGGTCGTCATTTCAACTAGCTTGGTGCAGTAAACAACTCTCCAGAGACAACAAAGCAACCACAGAGGTGTTTACAATGAGTTACACCTACCTTTTAAGCTTTTGCAGCTTTTGAATCACTGCAGCGGCATCACCCCCCACCTATGTTCCAACAACTGAGCACTGCTGCGAGAAGGATCCAAGTCAGTCAAACAAGATGCAAATACAAGTCAGTCTCATACGGGTACAAGATGCCATAGCATGGTATTGCCACTTTGGACCAAGCTCTAAAGCAATACAATTAGGTGTTAGTAAACTTTATGATTTGCTGATAAAGCTACTTGTAACCCAGTCATTGATAGCTAGCTATAGCTTGTAGTAGCATTAATTCAGCAGCAGCCATGTGCATGCACCTGTAACGGTACCCTTACTGGTACCGGTACAAGAGCCAACATGACACGGAGTATCTTAATGTAAAGGATTTCAATTTTTACTTTTAAAAAATGCAATTTTGTATTATTGTACAGGCTGGTTTCTTTGCGCTCACACACAAAAGACCCGTTCTGTATTTGGTTGAGTCATGCGTGTATATTGCTCTAATGCTTTTTGTCACTCCGTTAAATAGATGAAGACCACAAGATCCCGACAGGACTTAACAACTTCAACTGACGTGGAAGGTGCCATTCTCCTGTAGGAGCACTGCACCAGTCAAATGGCACCAAATTCACGCGACTCCACACTTGGCATGTTTTCATGTACTTACATAGTTTAGGTTGGGCCACCCGCGAGTGCCACCGCTGATTTTCGTCTTCAGTCCATGCACAATGACATTCGGTCACGCAACACGAGTTGGCCACGGTACCAGTACATGTAGATCGGTACCGTACTAGCGCTACCTTTTTTTAACACTGCGTTTCCTACAATGAGACGCAAAAGGGATCTTGCCATCATAGTCTTGCTGCCAACTCGGGTCGTCGTCCATTGAAAGCAGCAGCAATGCATGCCAGGCAGGCTGCTTTGTTGCTTGCTTTGGGTTAGATGATTCCCTAGCTAAATAGCACAGATATACTAATTCTTACAGTCTAGACGGCAAGAATTCCGTGTACATAGCTGAACCAATTGTAGCAAAGCGACGCCGAGAAGGTCCAAGGCGAAGAATATCCATCCCTGCCTCTTTCAAGCACCAGGATACGTGCGTACATCCTTTTTTCGTCAACTGCTGTGTGAAGACACAAGGCAGCACGACAATTATTGACGACACACGGTCAGATCCGCCGTGCGTTTCAACCATGACTTTTCCCCAATCCAAGGAAGCAAACTCGTCGTCCAATCTGAATTGCATCTCATCTGGGCTCATGCCATCTGCCAAAGAAAAAGTTAGCAGAGCTTATGGCGTGATCTCAGCTTCGGAGGACTTTCCGTGGACCGTTTCAAATTTGGGACAAGCAACAGTGAATTGAAGATTATAAAGACATCTTCATCTGCCTAGTTACTAATTATTATTGAAATAGTAGTAAATAAAATCGGCTTAGATGAGATAAGGTGGAACTCAAGCCACCTCCAAAAAAGGAGCATGGCCATCGAGACTAAAGTTTGCCTCATTTGCATATCGTTTCACTAGAAGCCCTTTTATTCGCTCTTTCAACCTTGCTCTTGCTATTTCGGGGGTTGGCATGCAGTACAGCCGGTCCAGTCTTCCCAATGGACATTTTGCATTTAGTTGGAATTTAGATGTGACTTCTGTTGGCAACACTGCTTTTGCCATTGACACCATCATCTTGAAGAGTGGAGGAGCATTGAAGAACTTGACTTGCTTAATCTTTCTTGGATAGGCATGCACACTCTTCCAAATGGATTGAAATGCAGTCAAGCTCAATGTTTTTCCTTTGACCAGCTGGTACCCCTCACATTCACAAAGAATAGTACCGCCAACCCTGAGTGCCTCCAAATCACATAATGTCATGTGGGTGGCATAGAAAGCCCGGCGATTGTAGTAGCATGTCTCATCTGGATTTGACCAGATGGCCCCATTGGAATAATTTCCAATGTCAAAAGCAACAATGTAGCCACCAGATTGGAGATTGAAGTCAATAGAGAGGAAGCCATCTTTTGGCAAATGCCTCAGTGCATCGTCCAATGTGTCCAATATTAGATTGTCTTTCTTATGCTCTTGAAGCCGGAACGCCCTCACAACGGCATCGTCAACATTGCCTTTAGAAACAATGGCTATTTGAGCATACATAAAATCCGTCAAATTATCGAGATCTGGGATTTTTTCAATGGCAGCTTTGACAGCAACAGCCCACTGATGCTCTTCCTGTGTCAGCCCCATTCTGGCAGGGTCGTTTTGCCCACATAGATCTGCAGCAAGCTCATTCATTATGGGGCCATTGTTGAGTCCTGTGGCTTGGTTGGGTGACAATTCCTTTGTTGAATCTTCCTGGTTGTCGTCTTCTGTGAATCCATCGTCATCATCATCATCATCACTACCATTACTGGTGTCACTACTACAGCCAGAGTATGCCTCGACGTCTGCCTCATTGCCCAACTCATTACAGCCAGAGTATGCCTTGTTGCCCGGGTCACTACAGCCAGAGTATTTCTCAGGCTCTGCCTGTTCTGCAGGTAGTTTGTTGTCGTTGATGATGCTGTAAGTGCCAGTGAAAGTAGGTTCGGTGAGAGCAGAGATTTCGTCAGCGTCTGATCCCTCCTCATTGGAGCTTCCATATCTGAAACCTTCAGGATCCATACTAGCTAGTAGTTAGTGATAGTTGGAGCCAAGGGTGTCACAGGGAGCTGCGGGGTTTGCTGTTGTTGCTTGTCCTGAGTTGGATAAACAAAAAGGGTCAAAACAGCAATTGAAAAGAAGAGTGACCAGTTCCTGTACAAGGCCTATACCGGTACCACCGTCTACGTACTAGTACCATTTTTGGACAGTACGCGATGGTGGTTGGCACGTTGGCACTCTTTGGACCGGATACCGGTAGACGCCACCGCTGTCATCATGTCATCATCCCGTACCTGTTCGCAAGTACCGGTACATGTATGACTTGACCCTGCTATTGGGATTGATCACCTGCTTTTAAGATACAAAAACGTCCCGGACCGTGTGACCGCAGAGGCCACCCACCAATTGATTGCCAGTTCCCAACTTTGGCCTTCTATTCTCCTAAAAGCTTGTTGTCCCACTGCTAGCTAGCTTCATTTCACTCTAGCTAGCTACTACCAGTAGCTACTAGCTTACTAGAAAGAATACTCCAACGGTACACATGGAGGCCCGTTCTCGCCCTCTGGGCCTCTGCTTTGGGAGTCCATTATCTGGGATTTGATCCAGTCTTGGGATTGAAAGCCAAGACTGTCCCAATAACCATAACTGAACAAGAAGATCTATCTATCTGCTTCTGGTCCGCGCATAAATCATCAGAACAAGCGGCATCCCCACGTCCCCTCTTCACCACATGAAAGCAACCGACAATAAAAAACTAAACAACAAAGACTGTGACGTTGAAAAACAGCCAACAGCAGCCGAGAACGAGCTACAACCCACCGGAGTTTCCCAACCAGCAAGAGGGCAAAAGCGGGAGTGCTCTGCCCAAGAAAAAGTCTTTGCCCGACGAGCAACCATAGCGGTGGGATTGGCCGTCTTGGGGTTGGTCCTCTTGGTTTTGGGTACTTGGGCAATCGCCACAGCAGTTGATTTCGCTGGTAGACACGATGAAGTCCTTACGGGCAAGCCCATCAGCGCCAGTGAGGTTCTTGCGACAAGGTACAAGTGCTCCTACACCATCCAATACGAGTTTGAAGTGGATGGGCGGAGATACTATGGCAGCCAGCAAATTGAGGTGGGGGGTGGCGAGAAAGCATGCCCCAGCAAAGCACGATCCCAACAAAGTAGCTGGCTCGACATGACAAACTTCAAGATCTACTTTGATCCCGAAGACCCCAATGACAACTACTTCAAGCTTCCTCTGATCTTTGGTGAGAGCACCGGGTTGGTGGGGGTCATCTTGTGTGCAGTGGCTTTGGTCGTTATTGCAGTGCTCTGTTTCTGCTTGTACAAGTGGACGGAAATTGTTGATTAAGTTTTGGATTACATACATCTTCAAGTTATGCTTCTGTAGAATGCGACCACGGACGCAATAGTAGGACGCATGAACGAACCTTGCAGCCCGATGGAGTCCACGGGGCGTTCCCTGGAGACAGACAGGCCTGTCCTTGGGCAGCGCTCTGCAGGCACTGAGGCAGTGCAAAGACAGCATGGGGACCGATATCTACACCCCGCGATTGGTAGATTGTTGGCTTCGTTTGGCCACCATGGGATACCATGGGATCCACTAGCTTCAGTTCTCTGAAGACCTCCACACGTCATGTACGTCGAATTGCCTCATCGATGTATGATACGAGAACCACCATTTCTGGGAAAAGTGGATCTCGCGTAGGTATCTTGGTGGGAATGATTCAATCCGTACCATGGTAGCACCGGCTCTCTTTGCTACCTCTACATCTGCCTGATTCTATTACGTCCCGTCCATGCAGATGTGAACTCGGATTCATCAACAAGGTCATGGATTACAACCCACGAACGAGCTTCACTCTCTACAGCGTCCCAAAGAAGCCTTCCACGATTGACACCCGACGACAGCCTCATCGTGGATGTTTCACATTCTTAACGTTAAACATCATGTTAGCGTTCAGGCTAAAGCCAAAAACCTGCAGCATCCCCAATAACGCAACAACCGCACGTACGGAATGATCAGTGAAACGATCCAAACTTCCAAAACCTCGTGCTACATCGTACTAGCTACCAGTAGTACCATTTCCAACTTGAGAAGAAGCGGTGCTCTTCCTTCTCATCATTATCGTCATGGATTATCCAGGTTACTATCGACTATGCTTTGGCGTGTGTAAGGCTGAACCACCCAAACGTAGTCACTGAATTCTATGAAAAACCAAGAAAATAATCTAGCATGTTGTGGGCCTGCCTGCCAATCTTTATATGTTGACAGGCTCCGTCTTCTTTCGATGATAACTTCTCTACTCTAAAACCATCATCTTTGGTGTGGTTATGCTCGGCTAGATTACCGGTACGCCATGGTGTCTTTCCTCCTCTGCAGCTGCCTACCTTATGGCACAAAGGTTGAACTTCACGCGTGAGGTGATGTTGACACGTTGACACCCTAACGAGGAAGTTTTCCACGTTCGACTGGACGTCCGTGGAAATTTTGGAACGAGACGTTGACACAACTTCACCTACACGAAATTTAACTTTCCACGCTCGACGCAGGTTTCTGGCTATCGATAGACGATAAACTGAAAGAGGACCCGCTGAAGAGCACACGACAGCGGCACAGTGGCACAAAGACAACAATAGCAACAGAAACAAACATCCGATCATTCCCCCCAACGCTCACACCATGTCCTCCACTGAAGAACCTTCCGGGAAGAATCACAAATCAACTCTTTTTGATCAGGAGTCCTTATGCCAAGCAGCACATCAAAACCCCGACTCCCAAAACACCGCGCGCTGGGCCCTTGATGACAGTACCCAAAATAAGCTGACTATTGATGCTTTTCTTCAACGTGATGATGTTTGGGTTGGCGCCATTTTCCCCATCTTGGGCATGGGACATTATGCCTTTGTTGGTCCTGTTAGCAAGCAGTTCAATCAGCTCTACAAGCAGCTCTGTGAGACTGTGGAGAATCCACCAATGGTCAAGAAATGCAATCATGCACGTCCATTCAACACCCCAACTAGGGGTACGACCGCAGCAACCAGTACTGATACTTTCTTTAGCGCCACCTTCTACACAGAGTCAACTGCCCAAGTCTGGTTGGACGATACATCTGGTTCCCATCAAGCTGGTGTCACAAATGATTGTACGCTTGCCAGGTTTGGGAGTGCGTCTTTCCATGAGTGGTTCAAACGAAAATGGTACACAACGCGTGTTGGATTCACCCGCTGTGCCCATCACGACCTTGGCATCCAGGCGGCTAGAAGCGGCAATTTGAGAGCACTGAAACTGGCACTCTTAACTGGTGGTGTGCCGCTCAATAATCGTGTTCTCGAGAAGGCTACTGAGTTTGGGCACTTGCATGTGATCAAGTTTGCTTACGAGAGTGGTTGCAGAATGGGATTGAGCGCAGAATCTGATATTGCTGCTGCCAGAAATGGGCGCTTGGAAACATTAAAATGGCTGCACGCACATGGTTGCAAAATGCGTCCTTCAGCATGCAATGCTGCTGCCGAAAATGGGCACTTGGACATCCTCAAATGGGCCCATGAACATGGTTGCAAAATAAAACCTAGTTCCGTAGCGCCGTCGCCCAGAACACTTGCAAAGAGGGGCGGCAAAGGTGTCGTGTCAAAAAGACACAAAAGCAAGCCGCCAATGCATGGGTATGCATTACATATCTATTCTACCACCCCCTCATTCCTTGAAACGCTGCAGCCCTTCCGGGCGCATCGCGTGCCGCCTTGGCCAACCCCTTGACATATTCCTTTTCACATCTCGTGGCGGGCCGTTGTTGTTTCATTTCTTGAAACTTTCGTTTGGCCATTGGCAATTTCTTTCGTACATAAATACCAAGCAAGTCAGTAAATGTGAATTGGATGGATTGTACCGATAAGGTATTGTGGTTGTTTTGAGCGGTCGTGGGCTTTGCGCTTTCAGTGGCTACTGGAGCGGCTGCTGGTGGAGCGGTGGAGATTGTTCCGGTGGAACCTGGTTCGCATGTTGCTGTGGATGTGCAGTTGTTACTATTGTTGGACACTATTCTGTAGACGAGTTTCTCTTTGGTATGAATTCCCTCTTGTTGTAGCATTTCGGAATGAACTCGTACGCGTGCCACTTCCAAGGGCCCACTGGTACTAAAAAGACAATTGGTTTCGGGTAGCTTTGGATCATCGGGTGGTTCGAGAAATACCCGAATAAGATATCCTCGAAAGGATTCTGGAACATCTTGAGTATTGCCTCCGGGCGACGTATGGAGCCCGTCGAAGGTGGGAGCCTGCCATTCGAATTCTTGTGTCTGTTTTGGGACAAACGTCGTAGCAGTAGATTGTTTTGTTGTAGCAGAAGTACTAGTACCATTGTTGTCTGGTTGTTGTGATTGTGGTTGCGGTTGTTGCATGACCAATGGCATTCTAGTATCCAAGACATGATACGCCACGGCCCACGTCGCAAAACGAGGACCTTGACTGCCCGTCTTACACAATCGGTCAGGGACTTCGTCTTGGGTACAGTGTCCCTCGTGCACTCGCGTGTGTCGTCCATTAATGAGTACCGAATAGGACAATTTCATTTGTTTGTGTAAACGATGCGTGGCCATGCGAGCGGCAAACTTGGCCATGGTCTGGTTGCCACACAGTCGCATCCAGGATATTTCGGCCACATCCAAATGCTCCAACAAATTTCCACTTTCGTAACAGATTTGCAAGACACTATCCAGCAGATTGGTAGTAGCGGCAGGGCCTTGGGTTTTGCGTCGTTTGGCTTCTCGTTCCAATTCTTGTTGTTCCAGAAATTGATCTTTGGCGCGTCGACTCGCTGCCAACGCACCAGAAGAGACCTTGACCAAATGAGATCCAAACATGGATTGTTGCTGTTGCAGTTTGGTCACGTGATCGTCGAGAAAGCCAGACAAGGCATAAGAGTACAGACTGCTGCTTGTAGTGCTACCAGTGCTTGGTTTCCCATCTTCCTTATTGGTCTCTGTCTTGGAAGCCAATCCCTGTTGGCACAAATCATCAAAATAGCGGAGAAAAGGATCCAATGGATGCGACAAGACGGCCGTGGCACCGTCTGAGTAATCCAGTGTAATTTTGGGATGCGCATTGCCACACACACCGCTGCACCCTTGACTGCTATTCGAAATGCCGCCACCACGGTTGTTGTGCACGGAAATCTCGGGTCCATACGCCAACCATTGACTGCAACACTGCTCAAAGATGGCGGAAGGAGTCCACACGCGACGCTGTTCCGCTTCCAGAGACGCTTGCTTTGCGTCGGCTTCTTGTTGCTGTGCCTCCATGAATTCGGACAGCTCCGTCATGGCCCGGTAGGCCGCCTTTCGACACGCCATGGTGAAACAAACTGAACAGCAATAGAATAAAATTTGATAGATAGTCTACTTTTACGTGTAAAAATAAATACTAAATAGATACGTTAAGGAGCGAGGGGGGCGAGGCTACCGGTAGGCAAGGCAGTGGCTGCGGTGGTGGGGGGCTGTTGTGGTGGGCATACGGGGAGAGCAATGAGGACGCGAGCAGGGCAAAACAAGGGGGGGGCAAGGAAGGGGGTGCATGGAGGAAAACCAGGAAGGACAAGGGAGCAAAATGTTGCTGCTCGGGGGTTCTTCGGACGAGACTGTGCAAGACTGGAATTATTCAGGTAGATGCAGTAAACTCGATCTTGTCATAATTCTTTTTTAAGTATGTAATTTACCATATCTACCTGACTGATTTTAGCCTAACTCTAATGAAGCACAATACTTCACAACTACACTTCATTTCATTCCGTTTTTTTCAGCGCTCGTCTCCTGTATCCCTTTGCCTCAACCAACAGTTACAACCAGCTACTGTACCGTAGAGTTCATCGATCGGTGACAGTGGCAACAGTACCGAACACACTCAGGTTCGGCTTTGCTCGCTGCACTCGGTTACCTCGCATTGGATCCTTATGACGAATACACGCACAAAACCGAATATTGTTAATCCAGCCATTGTAGCCAGCTACCGTACAGTTACATCGGCGACAGTGTCAACAGTACCGAACACACTCAGGTTCCGCTTTGCTGGCTACACTCCATTGCCGGTATATTGCATTGGATCCTTATGACGAATACATGCACAACCTAACATTATGAATCCAGCCATTGTAGCCGGTTGCGGTATAGCTACATCGATGACAGTGGCAGCAGTACCGAAAGTTCGGCTTTGCTCGCTAAGGTTACCAGTACCTCGCATTCGATCCTTATGACGAATACATGCACAACCGAACATTGCCAATCCAGCCATCGTAGCTAGCTACCGTAGAGTTCATCGATTGGTGACAGTGGCAACAGTACCGAATACACTCAGGTTCGGCTTTGCTCGCTGCACTCGGTTACCTCGTATTGGATCCTTATGATGAATACATGCACAAAAACCGAATATTGTTAATCCAGCCATTGTGCCGGCTACCGTACAGTTACATTGCGACAGTGTCAACAGTACCGAACACACTCAGGTTCCGCTTTGCTGGCTACACTCCATTGCCGGTATATTGCATTGGATCCTTATGACGAATACATGCACAACCGAACATTATGAATCCAGCCATTGTAGCCGGTGCGGTATAGCTACATCGATGACAGTGGCAGCAATACCGAAAGTTCGGCTTTGCTCGCTAAGGTTACCAGTACCTCGCTTTGGATCCTTTTGACGAGTACATGCACAACCGAATATTGTCAATCCAGCCATTGTAGCCAGTTACCGTAGAGTTACATCGATCCGTTTCAGTGGCTACGTACCGAACACACTCAGGTTCCGGTTTACTGGCTACAGTCGTTACCGGTACCTTGCATTGGATCCTTATGACGAATACATGCACAACAGAACATTGTCAATCTAGCCATCGTAGCCAGCTATCGTATAGCTAGTGGCAACAGTACATGACTTGCGCATACAGGAAAATGGGTACCGACACAGGAATCACCACCAAAACAGTAGGAAATAACAAGAAGGGATGAATCCGGTAGGAGAATCCACTCTCTTGTGTGTTGTTGCCTCTTCCGGTGGCTGTTGCTTTCAATGACTCGACTCGATGACGATAGGCTCCTCTGTTCAGGCTGATGGTAGGGCTGGAGTTAACAGAGCTTCCTCCGTAGCAGTAGCCTCTCATCTTCTTGTTATCCAAAGCGGTCGATCGAAAAGGACTTAACAATGGTAGTTCGCCGGCCGTCGGCAGTGCAGCAGAGAAAATAACAAATAGATATGGGTTTTGTTTTCTGTGCTAAACTGAAGAAAACCAGCGACTTACCCTTGCTTTTCAAATTGCACCAACTTGGCCGTCATGGGCCGAGAACTGACTGCCTTCCCGTGGTCCATAGGATTGAATGAGGGATGGCTTTCGAATCTGCACCGGAGACGACCGGCTTGAGTGGGGCTTGGATAATAGAGATAAGGCTTGGATATTAGAGACAATAGAGGTGCGATCGATCGATCGACTCGACTCGTCACTCGAATAATTGAAGAACAACTCACCTTTTGATGGCAGAGATCTGACTGCCTGCCCATGGTCCATAGAAATGAATGAGGGATGGCTTTAAGTTATGCACCTTCAACAAACACTCTTGATAATAGGCTTACCTCGTATTGTATCAGTCGTTCGTTCGTTCCAACACCATTCTTGTCGGCCAAGCTTGGATTTCTCTCCTGTTTACCATAGGAATACAATGAGGGAGAGAAGTCAGTGCTGCGCCTTCAATAATGGACTTTCGCTCCGATCGGTTTATCCTTAACCTTAGTAACTTCAACGGTTCTTTTTCCACGAATCAATCTAAATCTTTCGAGAGGGAACTTGTTACTTAACGATACACATGACCGTTGATTCTGCAACTGAAGTGCGGCTACTCTATTTTACACAGTAAACGCCGGCAAATCGATTCCAGAGTGCAACTGAGGGGGTAACCAAAAGGAGCGTCGTCTCAGGAGACTTAATTCTTCACAAAACCTGACGTTGATGCTTCACACATTGTTTTCAAATCTTTTGCGTTCCGTGTCGTTGGCAGCTTGTCACAAAATTTAATCAACTTCGTTGTCTTGAATCGAATCGAAGATTCCCTGCCACCGCCTCAGCTGGGGCTGGGGGCAACAGTAACTATGCAGCCAGTAAAACACCTGCACAAGTTTTTGCCTTGGTAGGTGAATGCTAAGGAGTAGTCCCCCAATCCATTAGGGAATTGGGCTACTAGCTAGAGTCAAGTTTGACCAAGCAGAGTACATGAAAGCGTGTGACATCTTCTTTGATGTGGCGAATCCAGAGCTACAATACCCTACTCCCACCAAACCTCTTGGTGAGCAATCCTTCAATCAATGAAAGGGCCCGAAATCAGGATTTTAAGAATCCAATTAAATTGATCAATTCCAATCCAAAATATAAAATCGAAACCTAAATATAAAACCGAAACCTAAATATAAAACCGAATCCAAATTACTATGGTAAATAACTAGTAAAATCATGCCGAAACCAAAATATCAAACCGAAACCTAAATATAAAATCGAAACCTAAATATAAAATCGAAACCCAAATATAAAGCAGAATTACATGTAAAACGTGATTTCGGGCCCTTTCAATACAAGTCAGTGATGAAAAACATGCATACGGGTACTGATCAAGTTGGATTGGGTGTGTGCAATGTTGCGTGGGAATTCACTTGGACACAGGATCTTTTAAAAGAACCTCCATCTCCACGTAAAAGAAAGAGCTCTGGCCTTGAAGAAAGCCAGCTATGCGGAGAAGATGGAGGATAATCAGTCGGTTCCCAAAGGAGTGGAGCCAGTGGGACTCACTAGCTAGCTAGCTAGCTAGGTGAGTAGGTGAGGCAATGGGTGGGCTCTGTTTCGGCATTCCCATGTTACCCAACCTTACCAAAACCGGTGGCAAGTTAACCAACTAGCTAGCTTGCCTCGTCAGAACAACTGTGTGTTGGATCGTCGCGTCCTTCATTGCGAGCGCGAAGGGTGGGTGCTGTGCGTCCAGCTAGCAAGCTTCGTGCCAAGCAAGCAAACAAGCAAACAGCACCACATGTCTCTTATACGACTGTACTAGTCTACTAGTACCGGTACACACTGTGACCTGACAACATGTGCCACAAACACAACAAGCGGCCGCCTCGGTCGACATCCAGAAATCATCCAACGACGCGAAGCCAGAAGCCAAACAACAACGAGTAAAACTAACACCTGGCTAGTATACTACCGGTAGCTAGTCATACCTACTAATCTTTGTGACCAACCAACTAGCTAGTACCGTACATTTCTCTACGTCTCCACCTACCGTACGGTGCTAGCTAAAGAGGTCAATTGGAAAGAACGATCGGTCGGACTGACCGTTTCCAAAGCTCACCGACCGAAAATCTACGTACAGAGGCCGACAGAGTACTACTGTAGTACCGGTACTACTAGCTAGTACCAGCAATAACCTCTTTGAGAAAACGGAGCGGTTGAATTTAGTAACTGTAGTATCGCCACTTTATCCAGCCATGAAGATCATATCAACGCTCCGATCGTCTTCCACACACCTTCCGAGGACACATCCTACTAGCTAGCTAGTAGTCTAGTACATGTAGTGTTAGATAGTCGATATCCGGCATGTCAGCTCATGTGTTTGCTTCTCTTTTGCCAAGCATGCCGAAATGATGGTTTGCGCCATTTTACGAAGTTTACCACATTTTGGGCGTCTAAGTCTTTAATCGGGCCTCTAAATCCAGTACACTGAATTTCCACGCCGCAGAAGAAACACAAAACTCATTGATCGGTGACCATGACGAAGAACAACAACAGCAAGCGGCTTGCCGCTACCGGTACGGTACCACCGAACCGACTGTTGCATTAGTGGTAGAGGTGCCATGGTCGCTTCGGCCATTGCCGAGGAGAGGAGAAAAAGAAAAGGGCATAGCTTACGCATTTGACCTACGAATTTATGGAACTGACTGACTGGAGAGAGCCACCTTGTTTCGTGCGTCGAGTCGGAGATGCTCTGACTGTTTACCCTCTCTTAACCTTCAGCTAGACAAGAACCAGTAGACTAGCAACAAGTTCAATTTTCCATCTTCTGGTACTGTACAACAAATAGCCATAGGAATTGTCTCAGAATGTGGAAAAATGATTTTGCAGCTGTGGATATGGCCTTTGTTGATTCATTTCATTCCCACGAACTAAAGAGACGAGGGATGGCCACCGACTACTGATAAACATGTATCACTCGTACTCTCCTCTTTCGTTCATTCTTTCGATGCCTCTACCTTTACTCTATCAAGATGAGTTTCCTCCTCACTGCAGCGGCTTCTTCATGACTACTACACTATTACTCCGCCACCATGACAGGCTCCTCTTCTTTGGATACCGGTAGGCTGGAAACAGCGGCGGTAAGCTGGAAGCAGCGAGCGACGGATCAATGACTTCTTTCGGTCGACGGATCGATTGGTACTGGTAGTACCTGGTCGCGAATGATTGAATTATTCATCCATGCCACGCCAGCTTACGAGCTCCAGCAAGCGAGAGTTTGGTTTCATAGACGATGTTACCTCCTCTTCACAGCGGCTTCTCCGTTGAAGAAGGCTCAACCATGACATGCTCATGTTGTTTAGTCCGGCAGGAAGCAGCAGCTTCCGTTCGACGGATCGATCGATCGCAGCGACCATGACGCTTCCTCTTCCATTGAGCGACCATGACGGGCGCTGGCGTTGCTTGTCATCGATCGAAAGAGGATCGACACAAAGACTTGACTCGACTCTACTGTTCACGCAGCTTCCTTTCTTCCGCTCCCTAAAGGCCTCAAAGCCCAGCCGCGCCAACACACAACACTGGTCAAGCTTCCGTCACGCTGAAGAGTACAGTCGTACCGTCTGTCAGGGCTCGCCAACAAAGTCATTTCAATCAATCATTGGTCTTACACGTAGGCTTCTACGATGTGATGGTACTGGGTTGTTTTTTCCGTTTTTCATGGGTGTCCTACGTATTTTTTCTACGCTTGTGGTGGTACTCACATTTCTACGTGTTTTCTACGTGATTTGCCTGGTACTGAAATTTTTGGCGTTTTCTCTACGCACTTTTCTACAGGAGTCCCTGGTACAAAAATTGATCCACACGTAGGATTCTACGGTGTTTTGGTACTGGCCTTTTTTAGGCCATTTAACGGCTGTTCTACGTATTTTTTTCTACGTTGTGTTGGTACTCAGCTTTTTTAACGGTTTTTTTCAAATCTCTACATGAATTTTCTACGTATGTGGTGGTACTAGATTTAAGAGTAACGGTTGAACCTTTCCACGACTGGCTGGTTATTGTAGTTAACGGTCGATCGACCTCCATCATTTAACGGTCGGTTGACGTGTTTGTCAGCCAACCCCACCGTAGATGTACAGTCGTACGCTATCGCTGGGCATAGCTACATGTACTAGCTAGTAGCTGTACATCTGGATGTACAGCAATAAGTTACTTCAAAGCGCCAGATCAATGTGGGATGTACTCTGAAGGAAGATGACGAGCGGAAGAAGAGCGAATTGGATATGCTGGCTTTGGGCCTCCGCCAGCCCTGGATTCTGTGTTTGGCTGTGCATGTGGCAGCCGGCCATGATGAAGAGGCTGCAGCTCAACTTGCTGAGAAACTGTGATTGTTGCAATGCATGGATCTGCACAGATAGAAAGCTGCCAATGCACATGATCGTGTCTTGCTCCAGCAAAGATCAAGCGTGCGAAACAGCACCCACAATTCAGGCAGCTGCAAGGTGCAGCACTGCTCAAATATCATAGAAGGCGTCCACACGCGACAGCTAGTAGCACCGTCTCGAAGACAGTCCTCTGGTTGCGCGATTCGATTCGGTCTCCAATTCGGCACGCAACTCGTTGGCGGACGTGTCGATAGGCTGCTTGCCTAGTTTCATTTGTAGCTGTTGCAAGAATCGGACATCGCTGGCAGTGACGCCGTCGTGTATGATTTTGGCGGAGCTTTCCAACGATTCTAGCTTGCCACTTTCAAATTACGCCGCTGCGTCCTCTACGAGCACATCCCTCTTCTGGGCGTCGAAGGCGTACGAAAAGAAAGAAGACCCCATTCCAACTGGCGTGTGTTTGTCCCTTGTAGGGACACCCAAAAGGGATTAGTTGAAGCGGCTCCAGAGGGGAGAAGGAGGAGGGTTAAGCTAGTCTGGACAAAAGCATCTAGTTGGCTGCACATGTTTTGAGTGCACTGGTATACCCAAAAGTCACCAGTCAAATGCACTCACCAGGGATATCTACCTCGTACTTACGGTGGCTTGCAAGCTACAAGCTAGACTAACGTACCATACTAGCTAGCTGGTGGCTGTGTGGCTGTTGTTGACCGGAACGTTCTGGAGATATCTTAAAGACAGGTAACGCAACAGATATTGTATCTTATTAACATAGGTGTGCAATGATTTTTCTGAACCAGTACGGTACGTGCACATGCAGTAAGGTCTACTACATGTACATGAACCAGGTACCGTACCGGTACCGTACAGTACGGTAATACTGGTGCCGCACGACCCTTGATGGACATCCCGTGGAATTTTTGTGTAGAGAATGTACCAAAAAAACGGAACATTAGATACGCCTATTCAAATGAGAATTGAATAGAATAGATGAACTAATTTCCTCTTCCCGGCACATTGATCAGCCATCGCAACATAAACAAAAGACGACGCAACGGCGTCCAGCAAGGACAGCAAGGACAGTACCATACCACACCACTCGATCATCCTCATCATTCATTCATCCCCGTCAAAAAACAGCATAAGCAACAAAGAAGACCAGAGTCGCCAGCCAATCATGAACAACCGACGCGAGAACGAAGAAGAAGAACCCCAGGAAACCGTTGTGGCGACCATGGTGGAGTCCCCCGCTGTCCCTGTTCGCGTCAGCCGAGAAGAACCAGCTCTGGTCAAACTGCTCCAAAAAGAGAATAGCATGTTCTCCTTGCTTGACTCTGATGACAAGGCGTCCTTTTCTTGTGCCAGCTATCGCATGAAACGAACCTACGAAGAGTACTGTTCTCCATTTGTTTCCCATTCAAGACCTATTCCGTCACACCAAAATTGCCAACAACATTTTCTCCTTCCTTGGCATGGGCCACTATCGTTTTGTTGGAGCTGTCAACAAACGGATGAATCAGGCATACAAGAGCTTCTGTGGCAAAGTCATCAATCCTCCACAGGTCCAGAATCCGCCACAGCTCTACAATTTGTGGCATGGGCAGCACCCAGCAATCGAAAGCGAAACTGCAACAGTAACTCATACTCTCTACAGTGCTGTTTTTGCCAATGAGGCTTGCGCCGACCTCTGGCACAATGATGTTTGTCCCGACGTGAATACAGTTTTGCCGCGATTGCCGGATTGGGTCTGCCCCTACTTGGCCGAACGAGGAAATGCTCCAATGCTCCGTTGGGCCAAGCAGAAATTTGTTCGGACGGATGAAGCTTGCTACTATGCGGCCCGTTTTGGTCACTTGGAGTGCCTCCAAGTTGCCATTCAATTTGAAGTGCGCGACTGGGAAGCACGTGTATGTGCCGAAGCTTCGAAACGTGGGCATCTCCACATCCTCAAATGGTGGCACAATAATCATGGTCCCTGGGATATGAGTGTTTGCGATTATGCTGCTGAGGGAGGGCAGATGGAAACCCTTGTATATGCCCGTACACACGGTTGTCCATGGGACGCAACCACGTGCCACATGGCGGCTCTCTTTGGCCATCTGGCCATCCTGAAGTATGCCCATGAACATGATTGTCCATGGAATGAAACCACCTGCCACATGGCTGCCAGGAATGGGCATATGGATGTCCTGCAATATGCCCACAAACGTGGTTGTCCATGGGATGCATCGACGTGTACCGAGGCTGCCGAGAATGGGCAGGTGGAAGCACTACAATATGCCTACGAAAACGGATGTGACTGCAGTTGGGTTGAGTGCATGAGATTGGCTCTCCATCATGAAAAATTGCACATCCTTCAGTGGCTCTACTCTCAAAAGGAACAATCCTGGGATTGGCAGGTCCTTGCCTTTGATGTTTCTACCCCCCCTCCAATCATGCAGTGGGCCTACGAAAATGGGTGTCCTTCGCAATTGTTCCCACTTGAGTTCGTGCCACAGCAAGCCCAAGAAGGCAACAACTGACTCAATGGATGATTCCTTGTTCATCAGCTGTCTTGTGATGAGGAGCGAGAGTGAGAGCAAGAACGGAGGAAAAGACTTGACATGTCACAGCAAGCGTGTATTGTACCGGTGCAGCCGCGCCCTCAAAGTAAAAGCTGACATTGATTGCATTGATACTAGAACGACAATACATGTATGTCATAGTCTCGCGTGCTCTATAGGAAACCAATTTAGTAGCTAGACTACTCTACTCTGAACGAGTTTCCTTTCAGAGTGGCCATGCATACCCTCGATGAATGATGCCCCTAGGAATTAATCGAATCGAGGCAGATATTCTTGTCCAACACGAAAAGCTCGAGATTCGGGGCACGGCATTTGCCCTTTTTCCGCACAAGTCCAAAACACTTTTGTTTCAAAGAAAAGCTGTTTCATATTCAAAGTTCAAGCAATCGTAGGTCAAACACAAACTGTGCACAGATAATGACGCTTGCAACTGACGTTTTGGGTGAAACGGGAAGACGCTATGCACGATAAGACGGAGCTGCTCTGTTTGATGGTCTCATATTGGTTAGCCAGGTGCTGACAGTTGCAACTCAATGATGTGCAACAGCAGCTACATTCGGCCCTTGCCGTTGTGCCAAACTCGGACTCGAGTTAGATGCGCAGATTGTGGAGCGCGGAGAAAATCTCTGACATTGTTGCGCTGGATTCATGAAAAGAGTGACTGCCCTGGAATACTGATGCATACAGGAATGCCGCTCGATTTGGGGCGAAGAGCTCACACCCAAACAAGGCTGATATGTAGCAATGCTGTGGCATCTGAGCCATCGAAGGTGGAACCTGAATGTACTTGTACCACTGCGATTATTGCCATGCTGCACATTGTGGGCACTTGATGGATGTCCCTGACACCCATGCGCTCGCTGAGAGGCTTCCAGAGGGGTCGCGCTTCATTACTTCATTGGGGAATCAACAACGGCTGTCTGTAGTTTGCGTCGTTTACGTGTAACTGACACGCTTTCGTGCACGGCTGTTTGTCAGTGCCCGAGCTATCTGTGCATTGGCCTTCCCTTTAACGAGATTCGATTCGATTCGTCGCCTCATCTTTGCGTTGTGTCATACCCAACGTTTACAAGCATGTCAGGGACGTTTTAGTTTCTGGTCCTGGTAGTTCCTCTCTGAACAGAAGGAACACCCGTTCCAAAAATACATCGCGTTATTTGCCGTTGCGGTCATACTACAGCACTACACTGTACCAGTACATGTATTGCTCAACAACGGAATCAGTCCGCTACTGCGATGCAATCAACATAGACGACTCTCGCGTATGCACCGTGTCACTCACTCAGTCAACGCTTTTGCTAAACATCCAGGGATCTCTGTGACGATTGGTTGCCTTCCAACTCGGCGGCCAACCCTTCTGAAGAACCATTGGCTGCACTGATCTTTGGTATTTCACCCAGCTCTGGGTCGACCAAGCTCATGTCCATGGTGCGGCTAGTGAATTCTTCTTCCTCTGCCTTATTGAGAGAAGCCACGTTGAACTCAGGCTCGTCCTGCACGGCAACGGCAATAGGATCACTCAGTCTCTTGGCCAAAACTGTAACGGTACCTTGTGCCCACGAAATAAGGTTGAGCACATCTTTCAACTCCATCCCATCCACATCCACTCCATTGACTTGTAGAATTTTCATACCCACTTGCAGATCCGTTTCGGCAAACAGTCCATTCAATCTGCTCACTTTCACATTCCCATCCCTGCATCTTGCCAGGGACAATCCCACTTTTGCGGTTGGGGTAGGTTTGACCACGGCCACGGCCAAGTACCGTTCCGAATCTGGCGGCTCTTTGGCCAAGACCGTCACGGAGTGTTGAGCGTTGGAAATGATACCGGCAACCTCTTTGAGAGGCAATCGTTCCACGTGAACGCCATTGATTTGCAGAACTAACATGCCCCTCTTCAGGTTGGTCTGGGCGAACAAGCCAGTCAAGGAGTTGATAATCTTCCTTTGCCGTTTGTCATGAGCTATCCCAATGCCAACCTTGAAATCTGGACTGGGCTTGACCACCGATGCAGCAACGAGACCATTGCTTCCTTCGCATGCGATTCTCTCGGTACTTTGTCGCGTCGCTGGTTGTTGCCGACTCTCCTGTGGAGAATGGTTGTTGTCATTATCGGGTGCGCTTCGACAAATCGCGCAACCAACCAGAACAGCAGCACCGGCACCCAAGGCAAAGATATCCAAGACGATATTTCCAAAGAACATGATGGAAACGAATCAAAAGTGAGTGATATTTCTGGAGGCGAGTAACGAGGGAACCGTTCTGGGAGAGCGATGGTGGTGGATGCATCAAGGGAAGAAGGATGTTGGATGTCAGATCGTGGTGCGGTACCGGTGGTCCGAACCGGTTGTTCGCCGTTGGCCTTGTGGTAAATCCACTTGAAGAATCGTTAATTAATCTTCTTAGTACCGCTCTGCATAACCAGGACTGAGAGCAGAAAAGATATATTGCAGACGCAAGAAGCAATGATCCAGTCATCCAGTCAATTTCGCGACCATCTTATCATACTCCATACTGTACATACCGTACCGTACCGGTACATATTTATGCATACCGTACTTCAGTCATGAGTACAGCTAGCTTTTGCATTCTTTTGCAGCCAGTCCCTTCGCACTTCGCACAACATCTCCGCCCACTGCAAAGATAGCTTTCGTCAACACAATAGTACGTATCTCCTGGAGAATCTCGTTCCACCTTTCGGCTGCCTCGAGATGGCATGTTGCCACAAGCTGCAGAAAGACCTACAATAGTCGTTTTAAAAATAAAGTCCGTACCGGTACAGTACACGTGTACCGGTACGATAGAGTCTCTTGTCTGAACAAAACACGTTCCTTCGATTTAGCAAAAGGGTATTTGCTTGCTAGCTAGATACCTTTGTATGATCTTTGAGCGTTACCGTTACCTTTGTAGGACTATGCATAGCTACTAGAGCTAGCTAGCTAGCTACTATGCTTATTATTAGGGATCTTCACAACAATAAAGTGGCCTTGAAAGGGTCGACCGATGCACGGCCCAGTAGAGCAGCGTGACTGCGCGGAGGACTGCATCCAATCATTTTTTTCGTTGGTGCCGTTGCGTCGTCATTTTTTCTTGACCAGAAAGCTGCCCGTTGTGGACAACATGATTGGAACACACCACCAAAATTTTGTTCACCCCGCAGACCGTTTGTTCGGTTGAAGCAAGAGTCGTATCCATCAGGTCTGTGTCACTTTCTTTTCACACGGCACAAACTCTGAGCTCTCGCTGTTTCTCTCTGCATTGCTTCTATCTCTGACTCCAATCCAAAGAAAACTGCCATCCAAAATGTTTGAAACTCTTAGCCGTGCTTTGTTTTTCTCGGACGTCCCTGAAGGAAGAATCAAGCACAAGCCCGTGATTCGACCTGCAGCCTGTGGAATGGGAGAAGTCTTCACCAACCTTGGAACCGATATCCATAATGCTTTCTTTTTCGACGATTTGAAAAGTGTTGCCAACCAGACCCAGGCATCCATGGATTCCGACGACTCGGAAAAAACCCAGACACCCCCTGAAGAAGAATTTGACATGGACGACGAAACCTCACTCCAGCTGGAAAGCCGCGGCCAAACCATGGGTTCCCCTGCCGTGAACCGTGTCCAGCGATACAACGAGCGAGTGGCCGTATCCAAGCGACAGGCCGAACTGTTGGAGATTGCCGAGGGGCTTGACAGTCAACGAAAGCATATTGAAGAGATCTTGGGTCAGGTCAAGAATGCCGCTGAGTTGGAGCAGGTCCAACTGAAGTACATGGATGCTTGATAGGCCACAATGCTTTTGAGTTAGATTTTTGATTGTCGTAATAATATTCTGTTGTATCCCACAGTATATGTTTTTCAATTATATATCTTGGTCTGTAGCCGGGTTTGATTAAACCGCTACTAGGCAGGAAAGTTCATCGCCCTCAGCAAAGCAGTGGATAGGCCATCGTGCTTCAGTTTGGGTCCAACATCTAGTAGTAACGGATAGACGACTGATCCCAAAGTTCCCGCTTCATACTTCGCTGTCGCAGTAATGCAGTGCTAGCTACTCGCCACTGACTACTGATCAGCGGGTGGAAGACTAGCTAGCTAGCTAGTACCTGAGCTCTGTTAGAAGACGACTTTAGCTGGCTCTAGATCCCCAGATGAATTCTGAAATTCGTCCAAGCTAAAATCAAAGGGAATCGAATCGAATCGAATCAGAGAGCACAGCCAAGCCCCTCTAGCTAGTACCGGTACCGGTAGCTCTACAGCCTTCTCAAATCCGCGAGCAAATCTAACGACGCAAAAGGAAAGCCATGCATGACCCCTTGCCACCACCGTGCTACCCACATCCTTTTCGGCGCCCTCCTGATGTTCCTTATTCCAATCCGTAGTCCCCTCTAACCACATCTTTTATAGCATCTTTCCTATTAGACTAATAGATATTACTCAGAAGGCAGAAGACGAAAGCCTCCTGCACCAACCACATCCCCTAATTATTAGCCCACCATGCCCCCATCCATCGATCCAATCAACTCTGTTCTTGAAAAAAAGGACATTTGGGTCAACAACATCCTCCCTTGCTTGGGAATGGGACAGTATGCCTACCTTGGCTCAGTCAACAAGCAGTTTAATCAACATTACAAGGACTACTGTGACGGTGTGAAGAATCCACCCATGGTGAAAGATGGCAATGGAAGTTTGGTAGAAGCAACCCGCACTGATACTTTCTACCACATGACTTTCTGCAATGTTCCTCGTGCCGAGTACTGGCACAGTGACACTTCCGCCCGCAAATCCCCTCTCCCCAATCAACTTTGCACAACCCTCGCCAAACTCGAGATGCTTTCCATGATGGAATGGGCCCGTCAAAAGGGATACTCATGGGATTCTGTCTGTGCGGATATTGCCGAAAGTGGAAATTTGGATTTGCTCCAGTTGGTTCGTCGGGACTATGGCTGCCCATGGGATGCATCGACTACTGCCATGGCTGCTCAAGGTGGCCATTTTGGCTGCTTCTTATGGGCATTAATGAATGGATGCCCTATGAATGAAACTGTATGTGCCATGGCGGCAGCTTCTGGTGACATGCATTCGCTGTCTTGGGCACGTATCAATGGTTGTCCTTGGAATGAACGTATTTGTGAAAATGCTGCCAAGAATGGTCATTTGGAAATCCTGCAATATGCCCATGAGAATGGCTGTCCATGGGATGCAGACACTTGTGCTGCTGCTGCCGAAAATGGGTACTTGGAACTCCTACGATATGCTCATGAAAATGGCTGCCCATGGGATGAACTTACATGTGCCAAAGCTGCTATGAATGGACATTTGCATATTTTGCAGTGGGCTCGAGACCATGGATGCCCTTGGGACCAGTTGACCCTGCAGATGGCCGAAGACACTGGACATTTCGAAGTCCTACAATGGGCCCGTGACAATGGTTGCCACTAGCGACTTCGGACTATTGGTTGTACAAGCCAGTCATCGATTGTTGCGTAGTTTTGTTCGGATAAATGTTCATATGGCAAGGGCCGCGCAAATAAAATACTGTGTCAAGCTTAAATTAAAATTAATCCTGTTGCTGGAGCCAGCTTTTTGTGGACCGTGAGATCGAGGCTGGCAACACATCCTTCCTCGGATCGCCTTTCTCGGCGGAATTGACATCTCGATCATTTATCTTCGACTTCTCTGTAGCCGCAGAATTTTTGGGTTTTTCATCATGAGTGTAAGGAGGAGCTCGGACAGTTCAAGGGGGAGGCACGAAAGCAATCAGCACGGACCAACGACAGAGAAACCCTGCCTCCAATTTCCCCTTGCTTTCTACCTGGATCGTAGCTGGCTAGTTACTCTCAACCATGATCGGCTCAACTCACCCGGATGCAACTATTTCGTTTACCTGGAGCACTAGCTAGCAAAACGGCATCACAAATCCAGCACAAAGCAATCGATGTGGCTGTCAGAGATCATGGCCTTTCCATTAGCTAAACAGACGAACCATTCGTGTTCACGACGACAGACTACAGTAGCAGCCCGCGAGCATGAAAAACGTGCACACTAGAGTTTTACAATCTCCACAAATAGTACATGTATGAGCACCAAGCAATCTACTCTTCGTCGTCACTGTAGTCGAACGTGATCTTGGTAGCCTTCTTCATTGGTTTTCCATTGTCTTTGGGTCCAAAGTTTCCGTACAGTTTGTGTTCCTTCTTCTTGATGGTACTGCCAAACTTCATGAGGGCATCTGGCACGGGTTGCCCAGCTTGTTTCATGACTTGCTGAAGTTCCCCCGCATGAGATTTGTCGCCTGGTTGAAAGAACGTGTGGCTGATACCCGTTTTGCCGGCCCTTCCAGTCCTTCCAATGCGATGAACGTAGTCTTCAATGGTGAGGGGAAATGTGAAATTGATGACGACTTCCACATTGGGAATATCCAGTCCTCGGGCCGCAACGTCTACAGGAAGGAACAAGTCATGTCACGTCATGCAAGAGTGTGAGTTTTTAAAAGAAACGAGACGACTTGCAAAGCAGAATTGTGTATTGATTGTTCTTTTTGTTTTCTTGTTACTCACCAGTCGCCACCATGAGTGGACATTTGCCACTCTTGAATTCAGCCAACGCCGCCGTGCGGGCCGCCTGCTGTTTGTTGCCATGAATGGAACAGACATTCCATCCCATGCGACGGAGCGAAAACTCGAGTCGCTCGGCTTCCTTTTTGTACAAGGCAAAAATAAGAATGCGATCGTTGCTGCGTTTTCCCTTTTGGTATTTTTCCAAGAGCTGTCGCAATCGCGCTTCACGAGCCCGATCGTCAATGACTTCGACGGTTTGTGCGACTCTTTTGTTGGCCGAGAGTGCGTCGTCGACCGAGTTTTGCCCGTTGCTTCCGACAATGGCCTCGAACCCGACGTAGATTCGTATGGGATCGTTCATGTAATTAATGGCAATATCCTGAATGGCGGCCGGCCAAGTGGCGGAGAACATGGCCGTTTGTCGTTGATCTTTGTCGGGGCATTGGGAGATGATGTATCGTACATCTTCTTCAAATCCCATATCCAGCATCCTATGAATGAATCCAAACGTTAGATGCAGCTCGAAAAACAGAAGAAGCACACAAGTCATAGTCTTTTGCAACCAAACAATATTCACTCACCTATCAGCTTCATCCAGTACCAACGTTCCAATTTGACTCAAATCACAGGATCCTTCTTGCAACAAATCCTTCAATCGTCCCGGTGTCGCCACGAGACAATCGACATTGCCTCGTTTGAGTTCGGCCACTTGAGCTTGTTTGGGGACACCCCCGTAGAGTGTAATGGAGCGCAATCCCACGACGGCACCAAATTCTTGCAGAACGGCATCGGATTGCATGGCCAATTCGCGCGTGGGCGAAAGGACGAGCATGCGGGGTTTGCGACATTTGCCCGCCAATTTCATTTTGTGGAGAGCGGGCAATCCAAATGCCAGTGTCTTGCCACTGCCCGTTTCGGCAATGCCCACAACGTCGCGTGGCGCCAATAAAATGGGCCAGGACTGGGCTTGAATGGGAGAGGGTGTGGTAAAGCCATTGCCTTTGGTGCATTGTTGAATGAGAGCGGGAGTCACGGATTTGCAGGCATCAAACGTCGTAAAAGGATGGTACTGGGGGTTTTGGATAATTTCATCCTCCAACGGTTTGTCGTCGGTAGAATGCTTGACTACAATTTTGTTTTCCGTCCTCCATTCTTGGACACTGCCAGTCTTAGGGGTAGAGTCCTCTTTGGAGTCACTGCTTTCGTCTTCTTCTTCAATCAACTTGGCTTTCTTGGTAATGACCGTTTGTGGAGATTCATTTCCTTTGCGTTTCTTAGCATCCTTATCCACTAAAGAGACGACCTTGCCATTCAAAGAAAACTTTTTACTGTCTTGAATCCACTGCTTGATGACTTTGGAAGAAATCTTTTCTTCTCCCATTTCCTTGGCTACCGTTTTAGCCAGTTCTTTGAGCTTGAGAGACTTGGAATCTTGACGCTTCAACGCCTTTTTGACAATCTTCAATGCGGCGCTTGCTTCCACCATTGTTACTAATATTTGTTTATTTTTCTTTAGTAAGCTAGTTCTTCCTTCTTTGTCTTTTCCAGAGGCAGACTGAGAGTTGGCTCTAGGAAATTGTGAGCGAAACAACTCGAACTTGCTTGAGGCTCACTCGGCAGATCGGGAAAAAAATTGATTGGCCGCGAAGAAGGAATGATCGGATGAGGGACGGACGGATTGCATCCAACACGTCATCATTATTTGAGTATCCATGACTCAGACGCAGAGCGCCGCCTCTCCGCCGAAAACACCACGCAACAAGCGCAACGACGAGGGCATGCCACTTTCTCGGACCAACCCTGTAATAGAAGCCACCATGATGCTTGTTCCCATTGCCAACCTTGCCGCTGCCGCTGTGACGGCCGTGCTGGCCGCATCCTCGGGGCGTAATATGCTGCAAACCTGGAGTTTGTCACGACAGCATGCCAATGGTAGCCTCCCCGCAACAGAAATAATGATCGATGCGTCGGATTCGACCAACGAGGTCGTGTCCAAAATCCAATCCATGAAACGCAAAGAACTCCTCGAGCTCTACATGTCATCGCGGGGGCCTCAAGATTTGTCGGAAATTGCGGGAGAATGGAATGGACATCTGTTGGATAATGATAGTTGGATCATGGTGAGTGCCGTTCTTTTTGAACGGCATTACAGGTAGCGAAAGACTATTTGCAAGCGCCTTACTTACCTGATCCTTCCTGTTTCTACTATACTACAGACGGCTGTGACGGGATTATTGTCGAATCGAATGTTTGGAATGGGACGAAAATGGAATGGAAAACAGTTTGGAAAGGAAAATGATCCACAGCTGGGAATCAATCGGTTTCATCCTCGCAACGCTAATACTAAGCAACAAGCAGAACAATCCACTATCACTCCAACCGAACATACCTTTGACATGATCCTTCGACCGTCCAAATTGGGCGCGCGGGACATGTCGCTCGTATTGGACTATACCAAGTACCAATTCCCATTGTCACTCTGGAGGACCATGATGGATGAAGTACGCATTGTTCCGCTAGACAACGGAGAACCACGGGTATTGATTGGACTGGGATACATGGCCTGGTCTGGTGGACGAATGAACTCGTCACCCTTTGTACTGTATCGAGCCGTAGAGGATGCAAGAGATCAAGTGTAGCTAGCAACACCGCATTGGCGGCCAACGCAACAAACGTGTACGGTAAAACTCTTTCAAGTGCTTCTCTCGCTCAGGGTACCATACCGGCGAGTCAGGGTTGCTTCGAGCGCGTTGGTGGCAGAACTTTTCGGTTCTGTATAGTATGGGCTTCAACGATTTGCACCAGGGCAATGAGTGAACATGGCACTACAGTACAACAATGACATGAAGAGTAATGGAGGGCTACATGGTGTTTTCAAGCAACTTACTTTGTTGGTGTGATATGAAACTACTAATTATGAGTGTTGTTTGATAGTGGGGGGGGGGGGAGTGTTGGTTTGTGGTCTCATCTGCATAATCCCCAACTAACTAAAATCCACGACAAGTCCGTTCCAAGTCCATTGTGATGCAACGATACGGTCATTCTTCTTCTTGTTTTATCTTGATATTTTGCAACGAGTCCGGGTCCGTTGCCCCCCTAACTTTGTTTGGATTTGAAAAGATTTCGTCCTCCTCTTCTCTCTACCTTTTCGTCAAGTTGCGAATCTCTTCGAATTTTTCCTTCATTGTTGTGTTTTCGCTCTTCAGTTCTTTGTTTTCAGTCTTGACCTTCCTCAGCTCTTCCTCAGCTAATTCTCTTGCATTCTTCTCCTGCTGGTACTGACGTTCCTTCTCGCTTATCTCTTGAAGCGCCACGCCTTCGTACTGTGCAGACCATCCACTAAAGTATTCCGCCATTTCCGCGTTCAACCCTGCGAAAATACCGACGCCCTGCGTCGAGCCTGGTTCCTTTGCGACGTCAGCCACTTGCTCCCCGGGAGTGCTTGGGGGTGGCTGCTTTCGGCAGTCTTCCCCCGGTGTCTGATGAGGCTTTCTGCTGGGGGAGTTTGCTGCAGATGCTGCTTTTTAAAAGGACTTTTAGAAGATTTGTTTGATTTGTCTCGTTCCGCCAGAACTTCTTCAGCCACTCCTCTTTTCTCGTTTTCTTCGCATTACCTGCAGCATTCGCAATAAGTGAGAATGCAAAAACACAGCACTAAAGAAATCCAACATGGTATGCACCCTTACCCTTGCCGATGAGCTTATCCACAGCAGCTTTAATGTCTGCTCTCGATGTGCTCTTCCCACTACGCGCATATTCCACCATCCTGTTTACGTGGCTTGTGCTACAACTGTTTTTCCCATGTCGTATGGCGTCTGTTTCATCTTTACCACGCGACACCAAAGCAAAGCTAATCGCCAGAGAATTAGTGATATCTTTACACGGTTTCGTCGCGATCTCTTCCAGTTCTTTTTCAAGCTCTGGGTTACTAAGCTTAGAACCAGCCTCAAGATATTTTCGGAGCTCTTTGACAGACAAACTGTGTTCCACATCGCCAGGCAGAGAATGTTCACATTCCTTCGACAAAATGGCACAATCGTTCGGCATCGTGTCAGGTTGTGCGTTTACAGACGACATCCTAGCTGCTAGACATCAATTTTGGAAGTGACCAGGCCTGAAAGTGTTCTGGTAGCTAGCTAGCATCGAAGCTGCACCTCCAGATCTTGGCATGGTCGCATGCTACTCCTGGAGTCACTACCGGAAAAAAGAGTCACCACCGGAAAACCCCAAAAACTTGCCTTGATGAAACCGACAATCTTCTATCTGATCCTGCCAACTTTACTCTGGTTGGTGAGTGTATCCAACAGGATGATGGAACCCATATTCTAGAAGTTAAATCATCAGTTCATAGGGATGGTGCTTACGTTGTGCGAGACAAGAACAAGAATTCATGGAGGCGAGCAGGAATGACAGCACTCAGACCCGACGCAGAGAGGTGGATTGAACACGCCAAGGCAGCAGAGCTCAAACGGAAGCAAGACAGGGATTCTAGCTTCTACACCCGCTATCCTTCCATCAAAGTTCCAGTGACTGAGAGGCCGATTGGAAGACAAGGTTACTTCGAAAATTTGCAGCAGTACATGGCTTTGGGGGCTCCGCTTCCTACAGTGCCCGCTGATGCTCCCAACTATGATACTATCCTTGAGCAGCAAACAAGGAGATTGATGAAACTATTCGATGTTACCGGTAGCAGTGAAGACAGAAGAAACATGAAAACAATTAACAAGGACTTGAGAGCCTTTGAATGTCAGCGCAGAGCAATCAACTATATGATGGAGTCTGTCTATGGCTTATGTTTGGCTCCCAGCCAGAACATCTCAAACAACCCTGGCTGGGAACAGGCTCTCAAGTATTATGGTTCCTAGATAATAGCACTAACTATTATAGCACCTTGTGGTGTTTGTTACTTGACTGCAGTTGATCTATCTGTACATGTGGTAGTTGTAGTTGGGTGACTGGCTGGCTAGATGGAAGGAGATGTACATACGGTATAAAGTTAGCAACTCTGCAGATTTGGTTAAACCGGAATATTCTGGTGGTAATCTGTCCGGTGATATCCTCGTAGAGCTGGTACATTTTCTACGTGACAGTTATTTTGCCGGATGAGATGTAAGCGTTAAAGTAGGGTGAATCGTATTTGACATCATGTTGCACTACGCTAAAAGCTAGTGTAAAGATCTTTCGAGTGTTTTTAGTTTGAGAGAATGAAAGTTATGAGAGAGATTAGAAAGC